TATTTGAACGGTTTCAATTCATGAGCTACTTTATCAAGTGACATCTTTATGTGTCTTACTTAAGTAATATCTAACTCTCCAGATATTGCTGTCCAGCATAGGCAATGGGATGTGATAATGGAAGTTGCAATCCAAAATTTAGAGGCAGCATGTTCATCCCAATGGCATTTGTATACATGAAACCTAAACAACAGCTTGCAATTACTGTGTTATATAGTGTAATTTTTTTAAGGAAAAGATCAACATTATTGGTAAAGACAGCAAGAGTTGATTCGTATGGAACTGACAAACTTTAAATTAAATTGTATATAATGGTTATGGAATTATCTTGGTTAAGTGTAGGCATTCTTATTATAACACTTCAATATATTTCTAATTAAGGCCAGTTTTTTCTTGGTTATATTTAGTATGGTAATAATTCATCAACAAGACACTTTTTTGATTTAACCAGCTGTTTATTTCCGGTCTAGATTTTCCTAATTATTTCACCTGTCTTCTTTCTTAGACTCCAAACATGCTCTGAATAAATGCTGCTTTCCCTAACTGCTTTTTTTAATGTTTGAGCATTGATCCAAATAAGCAACATTTAGATCATGTTTAAAAAAAGACAAAAGGCTAATTCATTTGGGCACATTGGGTTGAGGAAGGCTAATTGCTTTGTGAGTTATCCAGTTTGTAAGTACATGGCTGGTAATTTCTTATTATAAAATATAACCAAAAAGTAAAACATAAATAAATCCACATCATTCCAATGCGATGTGGATCTCTTGATAATCCAATAAATGTAACATTACCAGTCCAATTGGAATTTCCAATGAGTTTGAAAGTTTCCAAATATTTATCATTCTTATTTTGAACTCAAAGCCACTCTGTCTTTCCAGAGTTGAGCCATAGTTGGTTCCTCCACATGCAGGCCTTTACAGCCCCCAGGCACTGGGTAATCACCTGAATGGCATCATCTCTCCCACCTGGGATGGAGTTGTATAGCTCAACATCATTCTCATATGGATGATACCACATGCCATGGTGTTGAGGGACTTCCCCAGAAGCCTCCTGTAGAAGTTAAATTGGTGAGGTGGGAGACCTGAATCTTGATGTACCTCATAAAAGATGGACCTAGGGAAGGACGTAACAGTCTCTCCAAGAACAATGGAATCTGCCACACAGGAAGGAACAGAACTATTGGAAAACAGCATCCCCCCACTCCCAACTCTGAACCACTCTGGAAGGATATTACTGTAAGTTTAATGATATTGAAAGCCACTGAAAGATCTAGGAGAGTCAGGATGGGAACACTATCCCCATCCCAAGCCCTCTATATAACATTAGAAGTGCAACCAATCAGTACTATGACCCATCTTAAAATTCAACTGAAAAACCCAAATAATCCACATCATCCAAGGTCCTCTGAAACTTTGATGATGTGTGGGAATGAGAGATAGGAGCAAGAGCTGTAACGCTGACAACAATCTGATAAGAAATAATTCAGTCCACAGAGAGTGGAAAATCACAGAAAGTATTCCCCCTAGTTTTCTGGAGACTAAAAAAAAAAAGAGGGGAAAATACTTTTAGTCTTCCAAGATTATGTTTTATGTAATCTTATAGTAAGTACTATTCTTATTGTGAGGTTACAAAACATAAGTATAAATCAATAAAACATATACCAAAGAGAAAATAATAATAATAAAAGAGCAAAATACCCAATAAATAAGTGTCCGGATTTTCATTTGTATCTTTAAAAATATTAACATAGCACTTTGAGAAAAGTTGTCAATTCTTGGGGACATTTGGAATATAACCAAATTGTTCTCCTTAATGATGTCAATTACACCTCAGAAAGGAGAACCACATGGAGGACTTCAATAACACAATTGGCTCAACACATTTGCTAGCTGAAATAATGACACCTCAAAACCAAGGTATATGTAATTCTTGGTTAACAGCTTCCCTGTTTAGAGGCAGTTTGAAATTGCAACAGTGGTGAAATAGTAACTTTATGACCAGTGTTTGAACATTAGACAGTTGCAGTGTACTTACAGCCACATCTTCACAATTTGCAGTTTTTGCAACTAGGATGATTTTATGACCATTGCAGCATCCTACGCTCATGTCATTTCATGTGCAAGTTTGACAGCCAGTTTCTGGCAAGCGGAGTCAATGGAAAAGTCAGCAGTAAATCATGTGACTGTGATGTCTCACTTAATGACTACAAATAATTTGCTTTATGATTGCAGGGGAACAGATGTAAATACATTGGGGTCATTTGATGTTTCACTTAATGACCACATTACTTCACAATGGAGTTGCTGGCCCCAACTGTGGCATTAACCGAGGACTAGCTTTATGTAGACATTTACCATTTGAAGTAGAAAATCCCAGAAGTGCACTCTATGCCAGTAAAAATACAACAATACTCATAGCTAGAAACATCTGCATGGAATTATATAACATTGTTGGCCAAGTTTTTAAACCAAAATACTGTCACATATAACACACATTCCATAGTTTCGTTGCTTCATTAACCAGGGGACAGGTATCCCTAATATGACTCCCACCAGATATATTGTAGCACTAGCATGCATGTGGCTGGCATCTGGTTAGAAAAGTAGACTAGAAACAAGAACTGGTCAAATTATTTCTGGGGAAAAATAAATAAAAACCAGTTGTTCTTTCCTGTTCTCCAACAAGATGAACAATGTTCCCCTTTAAATTGGAGAACTGTGTAATTCTGAATGTTTCATCAGAATAGTTTCTCATGATAATAATCTGAATGTATCAAACAATGGTCCCATCATTAAATTGTCCACATCTACGCCTTAATTTCAACTCCTGTGCTATATCCAAAATGTCAGTCCACTTGGTTTGTGATGATCCAGTCTCTTCCCTCCCCTTTCCTTCCCCTTCCTTCTACTATGCTATCCCTCCTCTCTTCTCTTCTCCTCCCCCTCCTTTTCTTCCCCCTCTCCTTCTCTTCTTCACCTGCCCTCCCCTCTCCTCTCCCCTGTTCCCCCTTGTTCTCCCCTGGTCTCTTCTCCCCTTCCCTCCCCTCCTTTCCTCCCCCTCCCCTCCTGTCCTCTCCTCTTGATTCTTCCACTCTTTTCCTCACCCCTCCTGTCTCTTCCCCTGTCCTCCCTCCTTCTTTCCCGTCCCCTCCCAATCATCAGCCACAGAGAGGTAAGGACATCCACAACCCAATTTCTTAATTTGGGTTGAGAACAACTGGAGAATAGAGAATTAAAGAGTGCTTTTGACTATGGGACCTCTTTTGTATAGAGGAAATGAACTGGATCGGTAATGGCATTAAGCAACAGCAACTGTTCTGGGGTCCAAGTTCGACTGTCACTGATTGGGAATGAGAAAAGAAAAAACAGTATAGCATGTAAGTTTGTGTGTATTTCACTTCTGATATTGAAGCTCTTGGGATGCACTGAGGAAAACAATGCTAATTGGTCATAGGATTGTTCAAACTATAAAACTATGGACAGAAATGGCAAGGGTGACATTTAGTAGAATCAAGGGTAAATAAAAAATTAAAATTAAAGAACGAATTCAGATCAACTTGCTTCCTAACTCCTTGTACAGAGGATATACAAAATAATGCCTGATTAGTACTTGGTGGGAGACCAAGTAATTCTACAGGTAACAATTAGGCTGGGAAGGTGAAAAAATATTGAGGTGAGATGGGCAGCAAATAAATCTAACAAACAAACAAAAATCTCAGAAGTTAATAGCAAACCATTTCTCTATTCCTAACAAGAAAACTGAAGGGTCCTTGGTGTTCTCTGAGCTTTCTTGTTTTCTTGCAGATGTTTCATTGTCCCATTCATTTCAACCCTGAGCTACAACTATTCTCATTTATTGGTAACAATAAAATTACTTGGTTGTCCCTATGAAGTCAGTAGGAGTTCAAGTGTCCTTACAGAAGACTTAACTTTACATACAAGCAGGCAAAGGAAGAGGCCAGTAAAATCAAAAGGGCCATTCAGCTATATCAAGTTACCCAGCTCAAAGGAAATTTGAGGTAGGATTACTCCCAGCATTACTGTTTTCCTGCATGCCAGAGATAAAAGCCAGTGATCATTTCAAAGGCTATCAGAGTGTAGAAAGAACAGCTTGGGTAGCCCTATGTAGATTCAGCTGTATGCTGTGTATCAGACTTTCAGCTACTGAAAAGAAAGCAAAGGCCACCAAATCTAGTTCCAATAAGTCCAACAGCACACTTTAAATTGGATCCACTGTGTATGGAAGTATAGCACTGTATTTGCCATAGTATGGCAAAAAAAAAACCACAACAATCTGATTTCTCCCTTCCCCTTTGTGTGTGTTTTAGCTAGCCAGATGGGCTGTGTATGGGCTGGACTTTCACCTCCCTACAATGTCTTTGGAACTCTTTCATGCCACACTCCAAGTTATTCAGCGAGAAAGTTCAATTGTAATTCATGGGATTTTATGCTCCCAAAGAAGGTTAGGACTAGCAAAGTTGTCAACTTCACCATATATTTTAAGAGAATACTTTATCACTCTTTACCATATAAGTCCTCCCCCCCCCCTGTTAAAAACAAAGCAGGAGAGAAAGGTGTGTTGCATATGCTTGCTTTACCTGATTCTTTCCCCTGATGTCAGTTTTTCATTTGAATTCTTCTCCTATACCAATAGCAAAATCCAGTGGCAAGGCTACTCAATTTTTAAGATGTTATTTATGCCCTTGAATGTTAGAAATTCTGTGGTTACTCTATCCTGCAAATGAGGAAAGTAGAAAGAATGGCTTTGTTGGCAATAAACCAGACTTACTTTTAGAAGTTCTCCTAGGAACGACTTGTTACCATGCTTTGATTTCCTTGAGTTACGGTTTCCTTAGAACAAACAAGTGGAAAGTTTTGACCATCTTGACTGGGGATTGTAGGAGGTGGTGCTTGCTGATGTTCTGTTCTGTCCTCCCCTCCCCCCCAGTTTGGGAACTCTTCATTCAAGGGTTTTTGTCAATGGGAAAGAGTGTCCCGCTGATAATTCCCAACCACAGGCTTTGCTGACGTCACTAACGAAGCAATAAATATCTCTTGTTATAATTGGATGTGAGACTTGGGGTTGTGATTGCAGGACGTTGCCCACCGCTGCTATGGAGAGGCCCCCATGATTGATTCAGCAGTGGATCGGGGCACGCAAGCGAGCTGTCAAGGAAGCGTCAGCTTATTAGGCGAGGGCTGCGTGATTCCAGAACAGGGTCTAACCTATAAAAATCACAGCCAGTCTCTGATTAGGACACCAACGGATCACCAGGACAGGCAGGAGACGTTAGGTACACATCCCAAGAAGGAAAGAGAGAGAAAAAGTGGGCACCGACCACTGACTGACTCTACTTCTCACAGACTGCTCCGTCGGTATCTCTTAAGGTAGGGAAGAGGCAGATGCAAGCACGGGTTGCAAACTTTTCTCAGGAAGCCGTGTGCATGTGTGTGCATGTTTGTGGATTGTGATGGAAGTATGTAGTATGGTCTAAGAAACATCGCTGTATTGAGATCATGTCATAACTGTGGTGATAAGGGAGGAGGAGGAGGAGGGAAAAGACACCGTTTGGTAAGACAATGTTCACTGTTTTAAAAGATTAAGTTTGATGATTTATAGGAAGTCCCCAATATAGCTATTTACTATGTAAATTAAGTACTACTCGGTCTGTTCTGACCTTTAATAAGGAAGAGCGGGTGGGTTTCAGGCGGCTCTTCACCCAGAGAAAGAATGCAAATCCTTCTCGCGGTTAAGTTCGAGGGGGAAAAATGATTTGGGTTGACCGTTCCGGGCAAAAGTCTGATTGTGTTTTCGGTTCGTTAAGAGTCTTCGCGAGGATTGCTTGAAAGAGTTAAGCACCTCGGACAGTACATTGCACGGACAGCAAATCCCCCCCCCCCCTTCAGTTCTTTGATAGACAGTTGTGCCTTTTCCCACCAACCCTCCTGTTACATTTTCAGATCCGGCCGTCCTGAATCATGAAGATCCAGCTGCTTGTCTCTACTGGGATCTTATTGGTTGTTCTCCAGCCCTGCCATGAGTGCAGAACCCTCAGCAAGGGAGCCCCGGCCGCTCCCGCCGCCAGTAGCGCTCTGCAGCAGCTAGATTTCCAAGAACAACCCCAATCGCTCCCCATATTGCTCCGCATGGGAGAAGAGTATTTCCTGCGCTTGGGCAGCCTTCGTAAGAACCCCGCTGCTCCCGCCGCCGCCGCCGGATCCTTCTCCTCCACTACCAGCACGAGCACCAGCAGCAGCCACCTGGCTACGTCGGCATCCGCGGGCAACTTTTTCCGAGCCGTCGTCCAACAGCTGCAGCAGCTGCAGCACTTCCAAGAACGCTCGTTAGAGGGCGCCCCCGACTCCTGGGACGGCGAAGACGACGGCACTCACCTACAGGCCACTGAGAAGGAGAAACGATCCGAGGAGCCGCCGATCTCCTTGGATCTGACTTTCCATCTCCTCCGAGAAGTCTTGGAGATGGCCAGAGCGGAGCAGCTGGCGCAGCAGGCTCATAGTAACAGGAAACTGATGGAAATCATCGGGAAATGAAGCGCTCTCCTTTGCCTGGCCCCGACCAAAGAGCTCCTCCAGTTAGCACAGCCCCTTCGACCTAGATCTACTCACCACCGCTCCCTCGCGCCCTTCCCCTTCCCTCCTCCTTCTTTTATTCGAAAGCTTTCTCGAAGTAGCCTTGAATAGCATGTCCGGCGTCGTACCCAAGTGTCGTCGTTTGTAACTTCTTTTTCTTTTCTTTTCTCACCCGCCCTGTCCCAGGCAAGGTTCAGGGTTAGGCGTTCCAGGGTGGGGGTCCGTTGGTCTGGCCATCGGAAGCAGGTGAAGGACGAGAAGCGTCTTCTGGGGTTGGTGGGCGGGGAAGGGGGCCGGAGCCTGTCTGTACTCAGCTATTTCGATTTCACTCCTCTTTGTCTTTTCTTTGTAAACATTTCTTTCCACAAATAAAACATATTTTCAGCGCTCGGTCAACTTGGTTGTGTAAGAGAACGTTTAATATCTATCTATATCTCTCTATATTTTTAATAAAAGCTGCAAAGGAACGTTGGTTTGCATACACTTCCTTGCCTGCCGGCACGTCAAATTTCAGAAAAAATGGAAGGTTGGAGATCTTCGATGGGGCGGGGTGAGGTTGGTAAATGGATTAACGGAGGAATATGGGGTAGAAAAACACACTGACACGCACAGAATCCCAGCGTGGAGGACAATGGTTGTACACTCATCCAGCCAAGGTTCAATTTGCCTTAGGGAAGAAATGATGTTGAAATGGGAAAAGGCGGGGGGGGGGGGGTAATAAAACTCTCCAAACTGGTGCCCAACAGGGAACAAAAGACTATAACTCCCTTTAACCATAGGTAGTTGAGGACAATGGGAGATATTAACAACCTCGTATGAAAAGAGGATGATTTCAATTTTTAATCTGCCTGACACCTGTTAGAATATCAACTCCAGATTAGCTCATATACAAGTAATTAAAAATGGGGAGCTGCATTGGACAAGTGCAATGAACTCTATAGATTTTGGGTAGAAGGATAAAGGTTCCAGGTTCAACAAAATAATTTAGAAGAGAAAGCTGTCACTTTTGTCATCTTGGAATCGATGAGAGAATTTCTGGTTGTTCTTCCTGCCTTACATTTCAAGGAATTCTTTGCAGCCTACATTTGTTCCAGAATAAAGCATGTGCAAAGTTGCCATTTGGTGAATCCATCTGCCTATTCTGTCCCCAGGCAACAACTGTTTTGGTGCTCTGTCCCAGTTAACTCAGTTAACTACAATCCAACCAAAAGCTGGATTTCCAGGTGAAATATATTAGTCAAGCTTTCCTCCCCTTCCTTTCAGTATATGTTGGCATTACAGGAATACAAGTAGTGTTTATTGTCACCTCAGATAATTAAAAAATGATACCGTATATTCTTAGATCTACCTTTCAAACTATGTAAAAAAACCAAGCATTCTTGTTAATAACAAGGCCAACATCCTTCAAACCTTTTCCATCATTATTCATCAGAGTTTTGCTTACAGGTTTTTGAGGATAGAGTATCTATGAAAGATCTTTGAAAGAAACTAAACTATGAAAGAAATGTGTCATATTTTGGGGCTGGAATGGGATGAGAGTAGGGTTTTTTGTTAGAAGTCCTCCCCAAAGAGATTAGCAGCTAAAATATAGGTGTTTGAGTGAACTGCTGAATTATTTCTCACATCAAAGATTTTGCAAAGTGTCTTATTTTGTGTCCATATTTAGACACAAGGAATGTTTAGAAGAGAAAACTAAGACAATGGAACAGAACTCCTTCCATAATTCTCAGACATTTTTGAAAGTGGAATACTTCTCTGGAAACCATAGTGGTGGCCAAGATGGTGGCTAATTCAAAACCAGCCCAAATGAACGACTGTCATCTTTTAAAGATGTCCATCGATTACAGAGAATGTTTTCTTCCACCCCAATATTTAAGCCAGTGAGATATAGTCATTTAAAAAGGTAGAGTGGGGACTAGCAGAAAGTGGGTATCAACCAGTCTACTGTTTATCAGCTTAATTTACACCACCAATTTGTGAGGAAGATTAAATGATGGAGATTGTGAAGATGAGGACAAAACTGAGTTTTGGGAGAGACTGTCAGTGATAAAAAAAAGTTAAGCAGATGATTCTGGATGTCTGCATGTGCTCTTGTTGAATAATAAGCTTCTTGGTGTGCCTTAAATATGTTTTTCAATAGAAGATCTAGCCGATATATACAGCAAGCCAAGCAAACCTGAAAGGAATAAATAGCTCTTCCAGCCTCATAATACCCAGATATTCTCTAGATCAATGATGTTAAGACTGCTAGCCTCAAAGATCTTATTATCCGCTTCTGAAACAGCAAGAGGTTTTCATTCCCAGGCACTGGACATCTCCTTCTGACATTGTGTCTCTTCTATAGTAATCCCCAAATATTGAAAGACTGGAACTGCAACTCTCAGAATTGTGTCTTGAATTTCTATGAGTTATAATTTCTGTAAGTGGGGATCAGCAGTTCAAGAAAAATCTAAAAGAAAAGACCTGTCAGCTTAATTTATTCAGTTTAATTTTTTCCATTTGATTCCAAATATCTTGGGGCAGTTCTCATTATAACCAAAAGAATAAAATGGATTATAATCCAAAAGCAAGTTACCAGAAAATAAAGAAGAAAGCAGGTAAAAAGCAAGATGGTGAACTGGTCAAAAACAACACTCACAATTGGTTCCAACTACCCTAACTCAAGAACTTGGGAACAACTGGGACTTCAATGGTTTTGTCTGATATATTGTGACACAACCAAAGTTATTTGGAGTCAAATCAATTAAAATAAAAAAGTAAAAATAAACTGTCAACATGATGCCCTTCCATAGGAATATTTCCAACCAACAGTGCCTTTGGAATGACGGTCAACACTCAGTGGCAAATATAATGAAAATACTGGAAGCATATTCCTTGGGATCTGCACAGGAGGTTTACTTAGGTTCAGCTTGTCACTCCTTGCCCCATTAACATGGAAACATACCAGTATGTTATGCAATTAATAATCACCGTATGTGGGCTACAAAAATCTGGATAATCACTAGAGAGCAGCAGTGTCAATTTTCTGATTCACATACTGGTAGTAATCTTTCGGATTTTTGTAGATATTGTATGCTTGAAAGAATATATTTCTGCTGGCTTAGTATGTTCATGGGGGACTTGTGGTGAGAGCAGCATGATTGTAGAAAGTCAAGTAGGATGAGAGATCATTTTAGGCATGACGTCTACTGTAGCAGAGCATACTGGTATGTGGAACAACCTTGGGAAACAATTGGAAGAGTTGCAGCCTCGACAACTCTCTGATGAAATGGAAGGGGGGGATTCTGTGAAGAAAGACTCTGAGAAGGGGTCCTTCCTAATTTTGAAGTGTACATTCAGACTCAGATTCCGTTTATCATTCTGTTAACTAGACTGTGGGCCTTCCTCCCGTCATTCTCACATACTGTAACATTACATAGTGGCAATGAAGAAGCAGATGGGTGATCTTCCTCTTCTCTTTCTCCAGTCCATTATAAATGGCTGTTATGGATAGGGGCATGCCTTGCATGACAGAGGGGGCTTTTAACAAGTTTACCTTGGTGTCCTGCAAGATGTACTTATTACCCACTCTACATTTGATAGGCCCTGTCCAAAGTTTCAATGGGAATTTACCCCAAATCTACGTAAGGAGGCTATGAGTTGAATCTACAAACTTTTGCATGCATAACAAATATTTTTCCACTCTTCCTAAAACCACACCTGCTTCTGAGTCTTTTCTCATTACATATAAGTCTAAGATAGTCTGAATTACATGTAGGCTTAGCTCTGTGTCAGTGCTGTAAATCAGATACACTAATATTTGGCAGAAGACACAGGAAGAACCAAGATGTTCTTTTCTTTGTACGTCATCAAACTCACCCCCTTCCCCCATATATTCGGATGTTCTAAAAAAAAATGTGCAGTCTTTTTGATTTTTAGCATCACTGTGATATGTTAAAATGAAATTTAGATTGACAGGTGGCATGAATGAATAAATGTAGGCAATTCTCAGCAGGAAGCCATTATTTTTCTCAAAAGGGAAAGGAAAATTCAAATCAAATATTTCTTCTTTTTCTTCTTGATGGATGAATAGGTTGCACACAGACAGGAAAAATATTTGGGCTACTACTCACTAAAGAGGTTCCATGATGTTGCACTAAAAGTTATGGAAGCTTTGTAAGATATATATATTTAAAATGCTAAGGAATCATTGGTGGCATACATATAGGTACTTGTTGTACTGTAGCTGATTTTAAACACAGTTCACATAATCCATTATCATTGTTTAATCAAGCTAGAGAGGATGGAAGTTGACACCCAATATTTAGAGGGCCATAGATTCTCAGTGTGGGACATTTTAGTTCATTGTTGATGTATAAAATGAGAATTCAACTTAGTTGTAACATAAAGTCTATGAATTAAAAATAACATAATCCCAACAATTAGGTCACAATTAAGGATATTCCATTATATACCATCATTGTTGGAAAGATTTTGAACATTGATTTGAATCTTTATACGATATGAAAAAATTACTTTGAAAATTCCAACAATTCAAAACCAGCTTTATAACAGTTTATAGGGAATTTTGATTTTAAAAAACACAACTGAAATCCAAATGTCATCAGAAAAATTAGTGCATCATTAATTTTGGTGATTTTGCTTATAAATGTCATTTTTTTAATGTTCTGTAAATGTCCAGTTATATATCCCATCTTTTTGTGTAAGAGGGCTTGTAGTAACATTCTGAATCTTGGATTCTGCACTGAAGAACATTATACTAGCTGTGCCCAAGCTGAAATAATAGATAAAAATATTTCTGTTCCATTATACTTTTCATCTATTTTAATTATCTTTTTCTTTTGTTCCCAATAGTTGCCTTTTTTATCTTGTTAAAACTATTGTAAGGTTTGTTAAATTTATATGTATGCAGTAGTATTCTATGAGCTAAATGATCTATGAATACTTTAATACATATTTTAATTTCAGGGTTACCAAATTCAATTACAAAAACAGGCAAGTGAAGAAACTTCC